ACACATTCAGCTCAGCCTCCCTGCCTCAGTGCGCCTGGGCTACTCCCAGCTTTCAGATCTCAGTCCTTAACTCCCAAAATCTCGCTCCTGCCGCTCACATCTCAGCTCCCAGCGCTCCCGGATCTCAGCTCTGAACTCAGCTGTCTACAGTGACAGTTTCTTTACCGTACTTTGCAGCTCTCCGATATCGGCCTTCTTGCAGATCTCACCGGCACGCCAGTTTTGTGAGTTGGTTTTCAGACTTCAGCACCAGCTCTTCAATTTACTGCCTGAGCTCCCAGTGCTTCTTTGTAAATGTATCTACAGCTAGGGACAAATATGAGACAACGTGATCTAGACATTGAGCAGGCAGATTTTGTACAAGCTTCCCCATATTTGCCAGTGCATAACCACCCTGACTTGCCGCTCCCAGCCCAGGGACACTGCTCCCTCATCACAGGACAGGAGGAACGCCCATTGATGTCAGTGGAAGTTATTTCTATTCTGCTGCTGGAGAATGTGTTTCTTTGTGCTCATCAGGCACAACCAGTCATGCCCACTTCTATAGCGCAGTATGCAATGCACATCAGTGCAGGCTAGGATCTGCCATGTTGCAAACTTATGATTGTATCCACAATTCTTGTCCTATTTGGTGATTTTCCCTAAGCTCCAGCTCCTGGAGTCAATTGATTACAAGAAAATCTCAGCTTTCATATAAAACTACAAGAAAGTTTCTATATACACAGATTGATGGGATCAGAATTAGCTGTTACCACTCAAGAAAGATCTTGGCGTCATCGTGGATAGTTCTCTGCAAACATCTGCTCTATGCAAAATGGCAGTCAAAAACCTAACAGAACGTTAGAAACCATTAAGAAAGGGATAGATAAGAAGACAGAAAAATATCATAATGCTACTATATAAATCCATAATATGCCCACACCTTAAATACTGCACGCAGTTCTGGTTGCTCCATCTCAAAAAAGATATATTAGAATTGGAAAAGTCACAGAGAAAGTCAATAAAAATGAGCAGGGATATGGAACAGCTGCCTTACGAGGAGAGACTAAAACAAATGGGACTGTTCATCTCAGAAAAGAAATGACTAAGAAGATGATAGACATCTATAAAATCATGAATGGTGTGGAGAAAATGAATAGATCTGGAAGTGTTATATACCCTTTCATATAACACAAGAACTAGGGGTCATCCAGTGAAATTAATAGGCAGCAGGTTTAAAACAAACATAAAGGAAGTACTTCCTCACGCAACAGTTAACCTGTGAAACTCATTGCCGGGGGATGATGTGAAGATCAAAAGTATAACAGTTCAAAAAAGAATTAGATAAGTGAATGCAGGATAGGTCCATCAGTGGCTATTATCCAAGATGGTCCGGGGCACAACTCCATGCTTTGGGTTTCCCCAAACCTTTGACTGCCAGAAGCTGGGACTGGACAACCAGGGATGGATGGCTTGATAATTGCCTTGTTCTGTTCATTCCCCCTGAAGCACCTGGCATTGGCCGCTGTCGGAAGACAGAGTACTGGGCTAGATGGACCACTGGTCTGATCCATTGTGTCCGTTTTTATGTTCTAGATATCAGGGTTATGGAGAAAAGCTTGAAAAGTGGCCCTAAAGTCTCCAAAACCAGAAAGCAGATAAAAGAACCTGAGATGTATTATTTCTTTCACAGGTCATGAGTTGAGAGACAATCTCTAGATTTTGGAGGCCCTATTTATGATTTTTAAATGCTGGAGGTTGACAACACTGAGGAGGAGATTGCCAAATCCATTCTCCCTGTAGCCAGTTTTGAACTTGGAGCTTACAAGTCCAAGCCCAGCACAATGGCCCTGAAATCTCAGGATGCTGCTCTGACTTCACAACCTTTTAGTTCCCAGCCACTCTCTGATCAAACACTTTGCTTCCCTTCTCTTACTTCTTACCAATTCTCTGGCCTCAAATCTCCTCTTTTATCCCTTGCTTCACAGCTGACTGTTCCCTTCTTCTTGCACCAACTATCAAAATCTCACCTCTGAGATCTCTGCTCTTTGTTTTCTGCTCCTAGAAGAGGTGCCCGTTTTCTCTTATTAGCAAAGGGCCAGTTGAACTCAAGGGGTTTATGTTTTTCCATAAGGTTTGGCAAATTCAATCTGCAGATTTAGGAAAAGGGGGAATAAAAAGGATGCCTATTCCCTGGCTGGCTAAGGTATCTCTGAGTGTTTAAAACAAAATTAAAAGGGAAATTAAAGTTAGATTGTACAAATACATTTGCCTGCTGGGATTTGCCGGCAATCCATGGATTTTGAACCCAGGTCCACAGAGTTCTTGTCTATCATCACACTGCAGCTAACAACTTACTGGCATCAACTAGAATCAGAACTCCTTGAAGACCAGCTCAGATAGACGGCATCACCCCTGAGCCCCAATTGCTGGAACACTGGAGCTTCTGGTTGGCCTGCTTCCTCTACTTAAGCCGGAAGGAGGAACAGGAAATCATCCGTACAAACGGTTGACACTGGGACGAAGTTGGCCAGTGATAAATGTAGGATGGGGTGGGAGGGACCATCTCCTCATGCCAACCAGGGTTCAGAACTAGGAGGTCATGAACTGAGAGTCAGATACTAGGAATCAGGAGGTCAGGGTCAGGAGCAGGAAGTGCTGGGCTCTACCATGCTTTGAGCTGCTCACCGAGCACTACCTCACCCTGGCCTCCTGACTCAGCCTGATTCCTGACCTCAGCTCCTGACCTCCTGGTTCTGAACCCCCACTGGCATGGGAACCCAGCACCCTGCCCTATGCTAACCACTAGGCCTGGCCATTTATATCCTGGCCCTGACACCCACGGACTTCAAAGTCAGTTTCTTCCATGATGGAAAGACCCTGGTAAACATCGGTACAGGAGCAGAAAAACCTTATACATTTTTTTTTAAATGTCAGGACAGAGTATTTATTTAAAGGCTGTTTTACAGAAACTGGAATTTTTAAAATAGGTCACTTAAAGAAGTATCAAGGTGACAGTGTCATTGTAACCCCTGCCGTCTATATGTGACCCCTTCAAATTAAGGTGACAGGATGTGGGAAGCTTGCACCACTTCTGTTCCTTGCATTGTCACTGTTCTACGGATCAACAGAAGACATCAGCCCACAGGGCTGTCAAGCCAGCCCTCTTCATGAACATTACATTTACATACGAATAGGATGAAGTGCACATTTGGAGTACCAAAACTTCTTGGGGGTGTACGCCTCCTGCCTCCCAGGGGAGGAAAGCATTTTGGCTGGCTTCCTTCCGTCATGGCATTTCCAGAGACATTAGGTGGAATGTGAGGCCTTTGTTATTTTGCTGTGTTAAAGCAAGAAATTAATGAGATAGTGTTTCAATTCAAAGTCCAGCGCTAACTGTAAAATCTTTAGCACAGAGCATTTTAAGTGAGCAGCCTTATTGACAACCTGCAAAACATCACTCATAAAATCACACACAATGTAAAACTGGAGTAATGGCCACTTGTGCTTATTAACAACTGTGGCGCTTTTGGCAAAAGTAAGAGTGACTGGCCAGATTCTGAGCCATCAAGTACCTAAGCCTAAACAAACTCATGGTACCTGCTCCAAAGGCTGCCTCCAAGATTCACAGGGCCGAAGGCATGGTGCAGAAAGAGGGACCCATTCTTTGTCCATTCCTTTGACCCACTCCTCAGAAAGCTCAAAGACTAGAAGGGTTATTTTAAGACAGGGGGGACAGCAAAAGTAGCAAAAGGCTTAAATTAAGAAAGGATAAATTTACACTGAATAACAGGAAGGCCTAACTTGCAATGGCACGTGAGTCATTAAATGAGTTAGTCATGTCTGACTTATATCACCATGCAATATCCCCTCTTACAAACAAACACTGCTGCGGGATGTTTTCTGAGTAGCACAAAGTAAGATGCAACTATTCGCTTTACCTGGATCAGACAGGTGTTTTCCTTCTCTTTATCTTAGTCACATATTTTCTTTTCATTCCCAGCCCTCCTCCATTTAATCTTAATATTTAATTTTATATTCTACTGGCATCTAATACTGAGCTGTTACATGACTTTTCATGTACTTTTCAGCTGTGGAGCTCAAAGCACTTTATAAAGGAGGACAAGTATTATCCCCATTTTACAAACGGGGAAAACTGAGGCACAGCGGGGTGGAGTGACTCAGTGGGCGAGTGGCAGAGCCAGGAATAGAACCCAGGTTCCTGGAGCCTCAATTCCATGCTCTAACCACTAAAGCATGCTGCCCCCTTTGCTGTTAGTTTTCTCCCACCCCCCTTCTTGTTCTCCCCCTCCCATCCCCCTTCTCCTCATTCTCCCCCTTCCTTCTCCCCTTCCCCTGGTTCTCCCCCTCCCCTCTCCCCTTCCCCTGGGTCTCCCCTTCCCCTCCCCGTTCTCCCCTTCCCCTGGTTCTCCGCCTCCCTTCTCCCATCCCCCTTCTCCCCTTCTCTAGGTTCTCCCCCTCCCCTCTCCCTTCCCCCTTCTCCTGGTTCTCCCCCTCCCCTCTCCCTTTTCGCTTTCCCCTGGTTCTCCCCTTCCCCTGGCTCTCCCCCTCCCCCTTCTCCCCTCTCCCATCCCTCTTCTCCTCTTCCCCTGGCTCTCCCATCCCCCGGTTCTCCCCCTCCCCTGGCTCTCCCGCCCTCCTTCTCCCGGTTCTCCCCCTCCCCTCTCCCATCCCCCTTCTCCCCTTCCCCTGGTTCTCCCCCTCCCCTGGCTCTCCCCCTCCCCTCTCCCATCTCCCCTTCCCCTGGTTCTCCCCCTCCCCTGGTTCTCCCCCTCCTCTCTCCCATCCCCCGGTTCTCCCCCTCCCCTCCCCTCTCCCATCCCCCTTCTCCCCTTCCCCTGGTTCTCCCCCTCCCCTCTCCCATCCCCCTTCTCCCCTTCCCCTGGCTCTCCCCCTCCCCTGGCTCTCCCGCCCTCCTTCTCCCGGCTCTCGCTCTCCCCCTCCCCTCTCCCTCCCCGGTTCTCCCCCCCCCCCCCGTTCTGTGGTCCCTCCCCCCAGCTGGCTGATGTCACACGCCGGCGGGAGGCAGCCGGGCGACCATGGCTGCGGCCGGCTGGCGCCTGGCGCGGGGCTGCAGCTAGGCGCCCGGGATGGAGCCGGGCGGGCTCGGGGGCCAGGCCGACTGGATGCGGCTCCTGCGGAAGCTCAAGGAGGTCTTCGACGTGTGCGACGAGGATGCGGCCGGCTTCGTCCGCGTGGAGCGTTTCGTCGCCCTGGGGCTGCAGTTCGGCCACGGGGATGAGGTGAGAGGGGCTGGGGGCGCGCCCAGCCCCCGAGCGGGGCAGTTGCCACCGGGGCTCCGGTTCCTCCAGCGCCACCCGGGGCTCCCTCCCCCCGTTCACCCTGCAGCGCCCGCCCGCCTGCCTCTCCCCCCCCGTCCTGCATCCCCCTCCCCCGTCCTGCATCCCCCCCCCTTTGCACCTGCAGGCTCCCCCTGCCTAGGGCTCCCGCATCGCTGCCCCTTTGCGGCAACTCTGCCACCTCTTTTAACTAGGGCTCCCCCTCTGATCCGGGGGGGGGCACCCCTGAGCGCTCCGCACCGCAGGGCCAGGCTGCTCTGGGTCAAATCACGTCCGAGGTGATTGCACGGAAATGCACTTTCTCCTGCAGCCTAGAGCAGGAAGAGGCACCCTCAGGGAGCCTGGGGCTACTTCTCTGCTGATTTGACTCCAGACCCCTCTGGCCAAGGGGGACAGTTATGTTCCTGCAGTTAACCCGTTTTGCACCTCTTCTTGGTTCTGTTTTCTAAAGTCTCTTTCTCTTGTCCATATGGAGAGTAACTTCGCTGAAGTCAATATTTTGGACTTCTGGCTTTGAACATACCACCCTGCTGCCATTCAGGCAAACGGGGCAAACCCTGCATTGCTTTCCCTGCGAATAAACAGTGGGATAAGGCCATGCAGAATTCAGCCCCATATGATTTTTTTTGTCTGAATCAGACTGCAGGGACAGGCTCATATTTTCTTTAGTTTATTTCCTGCCCGGCTCTTTTATGCTGATGCAAATAGCCACCTGACTCTCAGAAACACCTGGGTTTGACCTTGTTTACCAAAACTGGGCTTTCTTTCAATGGCAGCATTGACTTTCTAAGCAGAAATACACCTGCGCTAGTGAACAGATGTGATGGTTCTGCTGTTTAGTTTTTTTGTTGTTGTTGCTGTTTTTTTTGCCAGGCATGACTGTTGTGGTGAAAGCAAAGGTTTCTCCTCCTTAGCTATGTGGATAATCTGAAAATAGGTTCCACAGATTACACAAACAAGACTCTCCTTTGAAATGAGTGCCTTTATTGCAAATCCTGTTACTCCACCATAATTCCTTATACATGTAAGTCCTGTTTGGCCTTCTTGGTGTTTAAAGAACACAGAGTGTGTTCTGGAATGCCTATGGAGCCATTTAACAGCATCATGTTAATCTGCAGTGTCACTCACAGAAAAGCTGTGTGAGTTAGAATTATGGACCAAAGTCAGTCTATCATTGACACAGGTATAAATCTGGAGTCACTCCACTGTCTTCAGCGGAGCTATTACTTTAGTGGAACCATTATCACTGCATTATAGTAGTGTAAATAAGAGTAGAATTTGGCCCAATATTGATTAGAATAATTGCATGAATTTCAATTGGCCCAGTTCCTCTTAAATTATTGAGTAAGAGAGAAATCTCAAACAAAATGAACCAGATATGAAATCTTGTATTTCATGAGAAGATTCCCCCCTTCAGAATATGATACCTCATCTCTGGGTCACCACATAACAAAATGCTCTGGCACTTAAAAAAAGGAGGCAGCACCAAGAAAACAAAGCTGGTGTCAGGATGAAAAGTTCTGACCTTTTAATATGCGGTAAAATAAATTAATCTGCAGAGATTGTAAAGAGAGAGAAGTTTATAAAAGGGTTCCGAGGAAGTACGATAGCAAAAAAAGCATAATAAATTCATAATTCTTGTCAAATCAAGTTACTAATTTTTGGATCAGCACTGGTAATGAAACAAGACTTGTGAATTAAATTAAAGAAAGAGGATACAGGAGGCTCCATTTCTTGCATCTAGTCATAGACCTGTGGTTGAATATTTCTTTAATGAGAGATTAGAGTTATTATTCAGTAACCAGTAATATAAGGAGAAGAAAGGACTAACAGGAGTGAGCTCTATTGATCTCTCTGTTTTTATTTGTCCCTTGAAGAATTATACATTCCTATATACACTAAGGGCCTAAATTGTTAAATCTATGTCGCAAGAAGCATTGATTGTACTGTGGGTGGTTTTTGTATTACTGTATTTATTTCATTCCTAGATCAATAACCTTTTCTTGTTGGCATTTAGGAAGGTTGGTGAAATTCTCTGGCCTTTGTTTTGCTGGAGATCAGCCTAGATCAGTGGTTCCCAAACTTGTTCCGCTGCCTGTTCAGGGAAAGCCCCTGCCGGGCTGGGCCGGTTTGTTTACCTGCCGCGTCTGCAGGTTCGGCCGATCATGGCTCCCAGTGGCTGCAGTTCGCTGCTCCAGACCAATGGAACTGCTGGAAGCAGTGGCCAGCACGTCCCTCGGCCCGCGCTGCTTCCAGTAGCTCCCATTGGCCTGGAGCAGCGAACCGCGGCCACTGGGAGCCGCGATCGGCTGAACCTGCAGACGTGGCAGGTAAACAAACTGGCCTGGCCTGGCAGGGGCTTTCCCTACACAAGCGGCGGAACAAGTGTGGGAACCACTGGCCTAGATGATCAGGTTCCTTCTGACTTTAGAATGTATGGAAATCTATCAGGTTATTAGGAGGGGAGCTGGGAGAATAAACTGGAGATAAAAGGTTGAATCAGATGATGTCTTAAAAATGTCTTTATTTTTTGTAGATGAATGTATTAGAAATATGTAAAGGGTGAGGGTTTGATGAACTAAAGTATTGTATTGGAAAATTATAAATCATGACTGGTGTATTCTGAATTTTGGGAGGGGCCTAGATTACTGACTAGGTGCCAGAAAAATAAATAATATGCAAATAAGAGATTAAATTATAGGCTGCAGCATATGTCTAGTTAAACAGGGTGAATGGTAATGAGAAATGGCCTGTAATCATCACTGCATTCTTGTTAGTTGTAACTGACAATGTTTGAAAAATATACTTACAAAGATGAGAGAAAAGGAATTTACCTCTATATCTTTAGTAGCATGCATATTACAATTTGTCTTAATTTCTCTTTGTATAAGTAGTCTGATCTGAAGCCTGTTGAAGTAATTGGAAAGGCTCTCATTGACTTCACTGGGCTTTGGATCAAGCCCTCAGTAGCTGGTATGCTGCATTGTTGCTAGGTTTGGGTGGACCAAACCAGAACTTCACATCTGAACTCCTTTAATTTTAGATTGTTACGTGCATGTGGATTCATGTCCCCTGCCTCTACAGTTTTGGTTCTGGGACAGCTCCTAATCCAGAAGGGTTGGTGCTATTTTATAGCTTTGGGTGCTGCAGCTAAAATATTACCTTTTGGGGCCAAAATCTCATGAGACTCGCTTATGTGATTTCAGTGCTGTTGAATCTGCTGCTAAACCTTAGCCCTGATTAGGTCTCAGCCACAACCTAAACATGATCATAATACTGCCTTCTCAGATTCATCTCTAATTCTTCCCAGATATCACCAGATAAAATGGGAGGGGCTGAGAGTTTACAAGAAGGAGGAAATTAAAGAGGGCTGGGTGTGTTATGGTACGTTTTGAAGCCATTCCAACTTCACAGGATCCTTATTTTATAGTCAACACCAAGCTTTTCCAGTACCCATGTTAAGTAATCACCGTTCTTTGACATGATGCTTCAAGAGGATGTATTTCAGATGCAGTGATGGTCATCAGAGGAGCAGACTGAGTGCTCTAAGAATGATGGCCTCCTCCACTCCTAATCAAGTTACTGATTTCCCAGTGGAGTTCAGCCAAACAGGTGTGCCACGAGGCACTGCAGGGAACAGCAGCAGGGAAATATGGAATGTGCATGGCAGGAAACGATAGGAAGGGTGTGTAGGGCTATCAGTGTGGGGAGGATTTAATTGGACCTGTAAGGCACATGGAGGGAGGAAGAGAGTTTGTGGTCAAAGAAATATGGAGAAGGGAGGAAAAGAAGGGGAAAAGGGAAGGAGGACAGGGATGTCCAAAATCAGAAAAGGCATTAGGACCCCGACTGAGAAAAGTGGTGATGTACAAACTGCACTGTGCTATTTAGCAGTGGCTGAGTCAGGTCTGCTCATTTAACTGACAAAGACAAGATTATTCCCTGCACGGACAGGTTAGCTAGGAGACAGCAAGCTGGACTCTGTTCTGTTCCATGCATCATCGACAAACGTGCCTGCTCCTTTCTGACTGCAGGATCTTCACTGCTGGCGGTAACATAAGAGGCAGGGAAAGTCTGGCTTTCAGATTCTAGGGGCAGAGTTTGCAGCATGGGCAGTTTGAAAAATCATCTCTGGACTTCTCAGCTGAACCAATTTGATATGCATACCACTGGGAGAGATTTGCTATGGAACCGCAGACAGAGGCAATGATCCTAGTGCAGATGTACTGTAAATACTTTATCGTGGGTGGATAATGACTTTGCCATTCTGTTTAAAAACGTGTCATTCAAAATGAACTTTATTTACTATGTATCACTGGTGACCTCAGGAGACAGAAAGAATCAGTTTCCCAAAACAGTACAGCCATCCCAAACTTGCTTCCATAGGGGCCTAATAACAATTGTGCAGGAAAATCTGCAATGTGTCAGATTAAATTAAACCTAAGAGATGCTGCCAGAGAGCTGCCTTGTCCTCTTTACCGTAGTCTAACGCATGATAATTCATTGTTTAAATGTACTTTTGATTTTTATTCTACATTTTCTGGGCCCAATCCAGCTCCCATTAAAATAAATGGGAATCTTTCCATTGGCTTTAGCAGAAGATTGATTGACCCTATATGTTAATGATTTTAGCCTTTCAGTTCTGTGTATCTTATACCTAACATATGAAGGACCAGATTTTGCACTGTTGCAACCCAAGTATCTATAACACTCTCAGCACAAATAGTCACGACATTGCATTGGTGTAATGAGAGTGAAATTTGGCTTGGTTAATTCCATCCTTCCCGACTTTATCCGACAATCCGCCTCTGTGCCTTCATATATTTGTAGCCAGGGCCAAGCAAAACCTTGATATTACAAATTCTTGAGTTATTTACCAAAGTTTGTGAGAATTTAACATAGTATGAAGTTTTTACCCTTTATGTGGTTGGTAGTTTGGTTGG